ATATGGTGGGCCTTTCATCGGCATGTCCAGTCCAGGCTGGTGGTGGTGTTTACAGGTGTGGATTATGAGCGGCACGCGATGCCACTGACTTCGGCTGCTGATGATGACCAAAATTGGCTTCAACACGTCAAAACGATGGCAACATTGTAGGTTGATCGATTGAAAATGCATTGCAGTTGCTCAAATGATTTGCTGGAGCACATGTGTTGAAAACATCAGTCCATCAAACGCAAGACTAAAAGTAAATTGGTACACCCCTCGGGCGCCGCTAGCACGCCTCTAGTGTTGGGAATCGAAAATCTTTGACAGTGGTTTGTTTACACTTCTATAGAGAACAACTGGTGCAAGTTTGATCATTTTCAATGATGGTTTTCAAATGAAAAATCCGGAGTGGGCCGGTTCCAAGCTGGCTAAAGTGCTGAAGATACCAAAAGCAACAGTTTGCGAGTGCTCAAAACCTACAAGGAAACCCTGAGTGTGGAAAGGAATCAGCGGACCTACGAAAAAACTGGAACCAATGATCGTCAGCTGCGCAGCAAGGTGTTGAGGTGCGTTAAAGCCAACCCCGGTCTTTCGATCCGAGATGTGCCCAGAAGGTACAATGCCAACTTTAAAACGGTGCGGAACATCCTTGCCAAGGAAGGATACAAGTCGTACAAAGCCAGTAAACATCCGAACCGGCACATGAAGCAGAATTCCGTTGCCAAAAAGCACGCAGGGCTCTTGTACGACCGTGTCTTGGCGGAACACAAGGGCTGCACTTTGATCGATGACGAAACATACGTCAAACTCGATTTTAAGTAGCTTCCCGGTCAAAAGTTTTACATCGCGACTGGACGTGGGGATGTGCCGGGAAGATTCAAGTTCGCGAAGAAGACCATGATTTGGCAAGCGATTTGCAGTTGTGGCCTGAAAACGGAACCATTTGTCACATCCTCGACGATGACATCCCAAGTTTACATCGAATGCCTGAAAAAGCGTGTATTGCCGTTCATCCGCAAGCATAGGGACTAAGTCATATTTTGATTTGATTTGGCCAGCTGCCACTGCTCCAAGGTGCTTCTGGAGTGGTAAGCTGCCAACAAGATCGATTTTGTCCCCAAGCTAATGAATCCTCCGAATTGCCCGGAGCTTCGACCAATCGATAAATACTGGGCAATTTCCAAGCAGCGACTTCGACGAACCGGTGGGGCAGTCAAGGGCATTCAGCAAATGCGGACAAAATGGAAGAAATGAGCTGATTCCGTGTCCATTTCCACCGTGCGGGCGCTGATGGGCTCCATGTTGCATGGTTGGTTGGAGATGTCCGTCGCTTTTCCACCATACTCTTAAGACCCACCCACATTTGATCCGGATCTGACGCATGGCGGCAAAGTGACAGCTAAATCTATTGTCTAACTGTCAAATTTACGTCAACGCAACGTAAACGGATCTAATGTGAATGGCCATTAACGTTAGCATAAACAAAATGGACTTTTTTCGGATGGTGATGGTGATACCTTCCCGTGGAAGGTAATTATTTAAACTTATTTGCAAAAAAAAATTCTACGCCCTTGCGAGCGGCCTTCCGGCACTGAACCAGAACATTCGCCATGGCGGACGAAAACATGCGTGTAGGCATGTTTTTGAGTTCTTTTTTCGTTTTATTTTTCAATTCCTCCTCAGTTTTCGCGACAAAATTGTTGGAGTAGATCTTACGCTTCAGGTTGGCCCAGAAATTCTCGATGGGACGCAGCTGGGGGACGTTGGGTGGGTTCGCCGACTTGGATACCACATCGATATTCAGCCGCTCCATCTCCTCCAACGATCGCTTCGAGTAGTGAGCCGACGCCAGAACACCGCGTCTTCGCCCTTATGGTATTTCTTGATGAACGACGCCACTTCCGGCAGGCATTTCGTACTATAAATTTCCCAGTTCACGGCCAGTTCGGAGCGAAAGAAGAGCGGCTTTGACATCCCCTTCTCGCTGATTGTCAACCACAGCAGCCGCTTCTTGGGGAACTTGGTGTGTGAAATGAACTTCACCTCGGAGCTCACTTCCTTCGTGGGGGAAGTCAAATACGAAGTGCCCTGCCAGTCGTTGCCATCCAGGGTGAGATAGCAGCGATGTAGCCACTTTTCCCTCGGGCTTCCTCTTCAACATCCTTTGGAGCTTCTTGTCGCTCAAGGTCGGCGGCCGTCCAGAACCGGGCTTTCTTTCGATGCTCTGATTGTTGTCTAATAGTGCCAAGAAGTTGTAGATGCCGGAACGGGCGTATCCGGCTTCCACAAAATGCCGCACGATGTCCGTTTTCGACGCGGTGGGGAGCCGTTCTTTGAACGCGCACACTTCTGAACGGAGTTGCTTCACTGTTTTTGCCATCACGGTTAGAGTTCGAGTGATAGAGCTGTCAAATTTTGTCTGCTGACTCATGGGCTACTATGGTTGATGCTGCATGGGTAGTTTCGTCAGTGCGGGTGAAGGTAAACCCATGAAAAATCGACAATTTTTGTCCATTTTTTTAAAAGCAAACGTTACAGCTTGTTTCTTGTTGAACAGCTCGTACTTTGATTCATCCGACCAGACAACATGTTTCTAGAACTCCAACGGCTTGTTAATGTGATTCCTTGCGAAGATTAGCCGTTGGATTTGCTGATAAATGAAATCGATCTGAAATCGACAGATTTAGCCTTTCTTTCACTGCGCGGATGGTGATGCGTGGATCTTTTTCAATCTCACGGATTATCGTTTTTGTCCTCTTCCAGATTGATCAGCAACACTTCCATGCAATTGATACTCCAAATAGATCTTCTGAACTGCACCACGGCTTATCGCATGCTTTTCGGCTATTTCGCGTTGCGATTCGTTTCCTGCAGATACATTTTCTTTCCGTCCATTTTTGCTGCTGCTGTGTTCCAGTGGGTAAATTTTAACACAAAATTTGACACTTTGAAAACCCCTCTGTTATTGATCGACCAGTTTTCGAGAAGGTGTGCGTCAAAATTGATTCCTTAGCAAGTTTATTTGAAAATTTTCCATCTGTAAAATTTAACTGAAAATTCCAAGGAGTAAGTCACTCAGCACAGTGTGCCGAAAGTAGATTCGGCACAGCTTGGGCACACCTTCGGCATGATCTAGTAGGCATTGGATTGTTCATTAAATAAAATGGGAGCACTGCTGGGCAGCTGTCATTGCAGTTGTTCACAACATTACGTGCTGTTTGACTGTGTATTTCAGAAACATACTCTAATTGAATATACTAAAAGAACTCAGACCAGTAATTTACTGCCAGGTTCACATTCATATTCGAAATGTAGGCTTCCGGGGGGTGTCAATTACTATCGATGCCGGTCACAAGTCTTTCAGCTACTACGCAAATGGAGTGTACTACGAACCGGAATGGAAGAACAATTTGGATGAGGTTGGATCATGCTGTGGTGGCGGTGGGATACGGAAAACTCAAAGGAGAATATTGCTAGCTAGTCAAGAACTACTGGGACAACAATGGATATGCTTTGATGGCGGTGAAGGGTAATAACTGTGGCCTTACAACCGATGCGACGTATTTAAATTTGAAGTGAGATTTATGTTTGCGAAATCTGTTTGCATAGCAAAGGAGAATGTCGATGAAGAGAATCGATCAAAGCAGATAGGGACATTTGAAATGTTCATCGAGAAATGATTGGGCCCATCGATAAAAATCTCATGTTCTTATATTTGTCTTGGAACAATGCGGCATCTGAAAAATACAATTGGATATTTTTGGGTTCTATTGAAAAATGTCAAAGAATGCATTCCTTTGAAATTTATGTATGGACCTAATATCGGTTGATGCATATATTATGTCACGCTCTATGGGGGGGTCTAAGATTTTGAGACAAGCAATGCATTAAGTATAGGAAAAACGTCACGATAGGGGGGGGGGGGTAAATTTCTCCTCGATTTAGCGTGACATAATTAATGCATGGGCTCAATATTAGGGACACTGAGGCTGACATTAAGGACGTTAAACCTATGTAATATGGTTGTTCCGGGTCTTCTAAAGGACCGTCCTGACACCTTCCGAGTGCATAATCAAGTTACAACCTCAAATAATTCTTATGTCACAGCTATGGGGCCATTCAATAATTACGTAAGCGCTTAGGGGCGAGGGGGTGTTAGAAATTTTCATACGTTTTCTTATACGGGAGGGAGGGGGTTTCAGAAATATCTTTCGTAAACATGAACAAGTCATATACAGACCATTCAAAGATTAGGAAGGGTATTCTAAACCTCTTCAAAGCCTTGATAAAACCAAAATGTGTCTAGTTTTCCGCCATTTGGCGTGAAACTGCTCAAAAGCATCTTATCTACATTTTGACAATTGTTTGAAATGTTTTAAATGCAGTCCAATCTAATCGTCGATGGTAATAGATAGCTTTATGGATCATGCTTTGCCAAACGTGTTATCGTTTAACACTCCGAGCTGTCGCTGGTAAAATGTGTAACGGCAAATGTTTGATAAATCATAGTTTAAATTTCAAATCTATTGGCGCCAGACAGACGTTAAAGATTTATTCGGTGTCAATAAATTTAAAATCTATCGATAAATTGCTGAGTAATTATTTTCCAAACATTGCCGATTTGCCGTTACACATTTTACCGGAGGCATCGTGTTCGCAGTGCTAAATCATTCTGAATGTATCGCAATTGAATAGTTCCCCTTTTTCCTGCTACCCTTAATTTCCCTTGCTTGATATTAAACATCTCTCGGGATAAAGCTTGAAAAGAAGAACCTAATCCTTTGGCAACCGCAATCAGGTGGAAATTACTGCACCAGGGAAAACCACTCGAAAGATACATGCTATGAAGCGTGTCGCTATGCACAACTATAATCCTCGCATAATCCCTTCTTGGGGGAAAAACGGACTTTAATTGCTCATTTCTCACCCCTTTTCCTGCAAGGATAAAATATGTCCCTTCTCATCTTTCGTAGACCGCCAACTAATCCGACTCTCATCTCTCTATCTCCATTCCACAGGTTGTTCTCTCGGCCTGTTCCTCGTACTTCCAGACGCTGTTTCTCGACCATCCCACCCAGCACCCAATCGTGATCCTGAAGGACGTCCCGTTCGCCGAGCTCCGCACGCTGGTCGACTTCATGTACAAGGGCGAGGTGAATGTCGAGTACTGCCAGCTGTCGGCGCTGCTCAAGACGGCCGAGTCGCTAAAGGTAACCCCCAATCTATACCCTAGTCATTCCTTACTTGATTTTTAACAATCTGCAATCTTTCTTCCAGGTCAAAGGTCTGGCAGAGATGACCAACCAGAACACCGCCCTGGCCGAACCGAAACGCGAACCGGAACGTCTAAGGCCACAGAGTCACAGTAGTGCCGCCGCCGCAACTGCCACCAGTCTGACATCGGCTTCATCTCCGGTATCGTCGGCACCGACGGCAGCGACCAACACCGGAGGTAACAGTGCAGCGGCCGTTTCCCCACACAACCATCACCATCAGCTCCACCCGCACCATCCCGCCCTCGGTTCACCGACGAGCAATGCTGCAGCGGTGGCCGCAGCGGCCGCCTCCCTTGGCATCACCGACCTGTCGACGATAGGGAAATCCCGCGGACTGGATCCGGACGGGAGAAGCCCTTCGCCGTCGCGGCTGGACCGGTCATCATCACCACCCCGTACCCCTCTAGCGCTGTATACACCCCTTAGAAAAAATCGTGATCATACTCATAGCGGTTCGGTATCCTCATCGGCAACTACTACCATCACAACGGCAGCTGCGGAGCGTTCCTCGGAAGAACGGGAACTGTCGGACCACCACCACCTGCATCAGCAGCAACAACACCTGCGACCTCGCTCGAACAGCGGCAATGCCTTCAGCAGTAGTTTCAACAGTACTTCCGAAGGGTTAAGTAACAACAACAACAACAACAACAATGCTGGAAGCGGGAACGATGACGATGACGACGAAGATAACGAAGAAAACGGAAGTATGCTGGCGCACGAACCGGGAACTACGAACAGCGAGCAGGATCAGATGATGCAGCACTGCCACCAACGGTCTAGTGTGGATGACGACGGACGACGCAGCAGTTCTATGGCTACCAACATCAACAACAATAACAACAACAATTCGGATGATGAGTACGAACCGCCGATCAAGATCAAGAGTGAAGTCGGTAAGTAGTCCAGCCTTCATACACGGAGCGTGTATCGCTTACACTAATCGGTAGAATTTTCCCCCCTCTCAGGGCTGAACATGACGATCAACTCGCCTGCGTGCCTAGCAAACTCGACGACCAGCGGGCTGGTAGTAAACTCCTCGATCGGTGAGCTGAGGCCCTCGTCGCGCGACAGCGGTCGAGGCGGCGGGACGCCGGTGGCGTGCAGCTCGACGACTACAGCGCTCAACAGTGCTGCTGGCGGTGGTGCTATGATGGGTGGGAACGGAAGTGCGCTTGGTGGAGGACTGGACCGAAGCTCGCCCCGCTCGCAGCGGGATCGAAGCGAACGGAGTACATTCGGCAGCGGTGGGATACCGAGTCCGCTGTCCGAACCGATCGCCGGACCATCCGGGATGGGACCGGTGCAGCAGGTTCCACTGGTGAGTAGCATTTCGAAAAATGTAACCACCCAAATTGAACAGACCAACCGGGAAAGTTCTAAAACATCTCCTTTTCTTTTAAATCCACTTTCAGTCCTTGAAAAAGGAAATCGACTGGGACCGAGGGGACGACAAGTCCTCCGGTGACAGTTCCCTGGACTTTCGGCACCCGCACGATTCGGTAAGTGATCCACCAGTATTCGTACCTGTTATCCGTTTAGCTATTATATTTATGCGTGTGAAATGTATCGGGAAAATATTCGAAGCCGCGCGTCCGTGATTTTTCAACAGTCACACCCGAACAAAAACCAAAACCGAGGGGCCACCTTTTGAAACAAAGTAGAAAAGTTCAAGTTCCGAAATACCGATATTCTGTACATTTGTTGATGTTGTTGTTTTACTGTCGTACGTCGTTGTGTGCGTGTATGTGTGTGTTTTGATGTTGCTGTTGTATACTATCTCAATTACCGTGGCAACCCATGTGAAGCCTCTACTGTCGTCTGCCATTTGTTTTTTTTTTCTCCACTGATTTTTTTTATCCATGCATCATTTTGGTCTTTTAATCATCGTTTTCATCCTGAGCTGTGTTCATCCGAGCGACTTTTTCATTTGTTTTTCCGTTTGTACTTTTCCTCTGTTTCTCTCTCTGTCTAAATAATAATAATTGCTGCTGCTGCCGCTGCTGCTGCTATTGCCATATTTGCTACTGCTACCACCCCCACGTATCCATGACACATGACAGCCGACGAGTGACTCTTCGTCAGTGATGCCACATTTTTTGTCTGTATTTTAAGCTCCACAACTGTTTTTAGATTTTCAGCTGTATCAATCTGAAGATTTTTTCCAAAAATCTGTAATCTGTAATGCAGATTGCTGAACCGAAATTTTTCCAAAAATCTGTACCATTTCAGAAAAATCTTTGAATGTGGCATCACTGCTCTTCGTGCGTCTCTTCTTTCCTGTCACAGCATCAATGTGTGCGTAAACCGAATGCATCCGTTGAGTTTTTCGAGAGATTAAAAATTCCCATTTTTTCAATGTTGACAATGGTGCCATCCAGGTGGGGGCGGGGAAGCAGTAATAGTCTACTTTGGGGGGACGGTGGAAGACGGCGACATTGTTGTCAATCCCGTGCCCCGTCTAGGGAGAACCGCAGTAAATGAGTCTCCCGAAGAAGAACTGGAGCAAAGTAAAATTCACGGTGGTGGAAAATTTTTAATTACCCCTCGGTCGGAAAACCGGCCGAGGGGTATCCAACACAAATGCGACTGTTGCGTTCGCTCTTCCCTACACGGTTACCGTCGTTGTTGTTGGTGTTGTTGCTGTCGTCGTCGTCGAGACGGAAATGCATGCGGATATGTTGCTGTGCTGGTTTATTTTTTCCCTGCCTCTCTAAATACTTTTTCTTTTCCGTACAGCAGGTATATATTTATGTTAACTCTTCCATTAGATGGACCTGCCGTGAACGCACTCCACGCGCGTTGAACGTACCCGAGCAAGCCAGTAAATGTTGCATGTGATCGTCGCTTTTCAGCACAGCTAAGAGAAGGAAGGAGAGAGTGGGGGAAATTATAGTTTTCCACCATTAGAACAGCTGGGCTAGCGAGGCTAATCATGGTTCTGCAAAGGAAGGGACGATGCATTATTGAGTTGGGAAAAAGTGTATTTGTGAACAACGGTGAACAATTAGTATTCAAAGAATGCGACTTGTTTCAAACTCTAGCTAAAATATGTAGGATGACTTTAGACTATATGCAAAGCAAGTGAACTAACGGGTTCAGTATACTAAATTTCATTACTGGACGAGCTAAATAAGAAGCTCAACTAGTGAAAGGCTTTCGTTGGCCGAGCTCAATTGTCAAACGTCACAATCTTCAGCTTCTAGACAGATTTAGAAATAGATGTTAAAGTTTTCGAAGTTGTCAAAATTAGGAAGAGAAACTATACGCAAGCTAGCGCGAGCCCCACTAAATTCAACACCCTGAAATGAGAGTCAGTTCTAGGAACTAATTAGGCTCCTACCATGTGACATTAAGTGCGGCAAGCTGGCAACAAAATTAGTACTCTCAAAACATTTATTATTATCCCGCAATGGTTAAGATAATTTCCGTGAATCGTGCTTTACTATAACGTTAACGCAATGCGGCACGACAAGTATCAAGCTTAAGGTTCAAATGTCAATCATTCAAGCATTTCAATGAATGAAAACGTCTATCTGGCGTCACCTAACAAGTCAAATAGCAACTAAACTGTTTACTGCCTTAATGGTCTTATCCAGATAAACAACTCTGCTAAACGCTCCTGATTATCATCAAAAGGAGAATTCTACACAACTCTCTCTCTATCTCTCTATAACCAGTCAATTCCCAATTAAACTGTTCACTGCTAAACAGGTCTCGTCCATAGTTTTTTTTATTTGAACTCTGCCGCCACCTAGTGAGTCAATTCCCAACTAAACTGTTCACTACTGAACGGTTGTCATCCATTAGAACAACTTTGCTGAAGACAGCAAAGTTCTATCTAGTCTCGATCCTGAGTTATCGCTAGAAGAATTTATTTGTTCTCAGGCGCCACCTTGTGAGTCGATTCCCAATTAATTTGTTCACAACTCGTCCATTTCAACATCTTTGCACCACCGACCACAACATGAAACTTAACATCCACCAACAAACCGACATGAAACTAAAATATAACTTTTGTTCGAAAATCTATAATGGCCGTTTCAAATGTGCAGCGGTCTGATAATCAAAACCATTGGATTTCTTTAATTATTGGTCCAGATTCCAGAATAGTTCAGACACGAAGCAGCTTATAAATTTTGCAAACGTGTTCGTGGTTTAGCTAAAGGTTTTCCACGCACATAAAGACAACAGTTAGAAGTGTGCTTTCGTAACTTCTAAGGTCATTCATGTATTGTAGGTGGAGAAACTTCTATCTAAGTCTAGATCCTGAGTTATCACTAGAAAAGCTTTATTTGTATTCTGGTGCCGCCTTGTGATTGATTTCCCATCTAAAGAAATCACTTTCGAATGTGTCTCGACAATTTGAACACCTTTGCAGAAGACAGGAAACTTCTATCTGGTCTCGATCCTGAGTCATAAATGATTTAACTTTATTTGGAATCTGGCGCCACCTTGAGAGACAATTCCCGATTAATTTGTTCACTAATGAACGGGTCTATATTTAAATCATGTAAAGCTCATTGGAATAGCTTCCAACGATTTTTAACGTTTGTAGATTGTAATCAGATATATCCAAATCATAATCATATAAATTTAACTTTTAAGGAAAGCAACAACAAATTAAAAACGCTGCCATTGACTTCTCGCCGCAAGATCTCACTAATACAACCTTGCTAGTGAAACCGTGTAAAATCGATTTTTTAATTATTTTCAATCACGAAATCAGCTGTCAAAGTGTTCAACATGACAGTGGTTTGTTTTTTTTTATTTTCAACCAGTAAAATGCATGCATTAGTGAAACTGCTCACTAATACTTAACGGTGGTAGAGAACTCTATTATGCATTTATTGAGTAAATTTTTTTCAAAATTTCACTGAATCAAGCCAAGAGTGTATAGAATCACAGTAGGCATTGGTTGTCAGGATAAGTTCATTTGTTTACATCATGGCTTCACCGGAACAAGCACGTCGCGATGCGATCCTGCACGCTCGAAACGAAAATCCAGGTCTATCCAGATATGGGAATTGTCGCGTTAACATTGACACATTAAAAAATGGTCATCCTGGAAAATTCTCGTCAAACAACAATTTCTTGTCGCACGACAAGATCACCACGACAAAATCAAGAATCCATCCAGTCGCGACTATCTATTCTAGTCATATGTCACTCATTCTGTTCTCTGAGACAAAGTCTATATAGGTTGTTTAAAAAGGAGGATCACGACAAGAAACCATCCATTCTAAAACGGAGGTTAGATTTAAACAAGGCCGGAAATAATGTTAATTTCCTTCAATATTGGTATTTCCTATTTCAGAAAAAGTGGGAAATACTGCCAAATACCCTTCAATATGTATATTTTCGGAAACGGGATGACGTCTCGAGACCGAAAATCGATATCCAGCGCCATCCCGAAATCTAAGATGACGGCTTCCAAATTCAAAAAAAGTGGGAAATACTGCCAAATACACTTCAATATGTATATTTTTGGAATCGGGATGACGTCTCGAGACCGAAAATCGGTATCCAGCGCCATCTTGAAATCCAATATGGCGGCTTCCAATTTCAGAAAAAGTGGGAAATACTGCCAAATACACTTCAATATGTATATTTTTGGAATCGGGATTACGTCTCGAGACCAACAATCGATATCCAGCGCTATCTTGAAATCCAAGATGGCGGCTTCCAATATCAGAATAAGTGGTAAATACTGCCAAATACACTTGAATATGTAAATTTTTGGAATCGAGATGACGTCTTGAGACCGAAAATCGATGTCCGACGCCATTGTTTAATCCAACATGGTGGCTCTCAGATTCTGAAAAACTGTCATATACTCTACAATATGTATGGGTAACCCGAAAATATATGTCTGACACTATTTTGTAATCCAAGATGGCGGCTCTCAGATTCAGAAAAACCATCAAATTTGGGTATTTTCGGAACAAGTACTACGCGTACATCCCGAAAATCGAGGTCTGACGCCAGTTTTAAATCCAAGATGGTGGCAAGTGACTTCAGAAAAAACTGTCAAATACCCTATAATATGGATATTTTCGGAACTGGGTCGACGTGTACATCCCTAAACGATGTCTGACGCCATTTTGGAATCCAAGATGGCGGCCGTTGTTTTCTGAAAAGCTGTCAAATTCTACGATATGATGCCGAAAATCGATGTCCAATACCATTTTTGAAATCCAAGATAGTGGCTCTCAGATTCGAAAAAACTGCCAAATACCCTACATCATGGGTATTTTCGGAACAAAACTACAATTTATGTCCAACACCATTTTGTAATGCAAGATGGCGGCCATTGACTTTAGAAAAACTGTCAAATACCCAATAATATAGATTTTTGAGATGACATGTAGATGCCGAATATCAATGTCCGATACCATTTTGAAATCCAGGATGGCGGCTTCCGGTTTCAGAAAAAGATATAAATACAGTCAAATAACCTACAATATGAGTATTTTTGGAAAAGGAATGACGTCTAGATAAT